ATCACTATCATAAATTTGATTCCACTGAATCCATAGATTTTGGGAATTACTCTGCTGCTGGAGCCTACACTTTGGATAAGAAAAAGAATATAATTACTTACAGTCTCTAACAGTCCCAGGGGCCTTTTCACAGCCACAAAACTAATTACCCTTTCAGCTGGCTATGGAAAAAGGAGGCTAAGTGCTCTTATTTCAGTTGTGTATGAAGGATAAACTATGCAAAAACACTGGTAAGAAGTTCCATGAGGCATTGAGGCTGCATTAGCTTTGTAAAGGGGTTTTCCTGGCTTCTCTTGAAGAGACAAGCACTCCTTCATGGTCCAGAATCTGTGCTTCAAACACACTCATCTCCACATCTCCTAAAGTGTCAGGCACCTCCATCTAGATTTTTCTGATGGATACAGCTCCATGAAATGCAGTGGGAAACAGAATTAATGTTACTGCCATTCATTCCCCACATTTCCAATTAGCAAATATAAACAATATAAAATGATCAGACATGTAAACTATGGTTAGACTATTGATTTGTTTTGCCTTTTGAAAAGCTTCAAATTTAATGACTCATCTTGCCTTCCTTTTAACCAATATTCCAGGATAAATTAATAAATTGTAACAAGATTGTAACATACAATAAAAATAGTTTTTAGCTGTGGATTAAAAGTAGGATTTAGTACTCCAGGGAAAGTTTCACAGTGGATTTGGTATAGAACTGAAATAATCTGCAATGCACCCTGCTGTAGCTTTCAGGTGTCAGTTCAGCTTCCAGTTACAGAAAGAGACATTTGTGAGAAAAAGGCAAAGCAGCAGAGGAAGAGTGAGAGTGCTACAACAAAGGAGAGTGGCATTCCCACTGCCGGATCTCTGCAGTCTACTCCACCCACTATGGATTAGGGCAAGAACATGGAATTGCCATTAGATAGCAACAACTCCAAATGACCTCCTGCCTCTGACCCAGTGACCCAAAATAATCCACATAAAATGCATTCAGTTTTATCCCAGTTCACAGAAAGTACAGACCTTGCTTCCTGTGCCAGCATGCTTTTTAAGCAGAGAGGCAATCAGAAATTCTGCCCTTGAAAGGAAACTTTTTTTGGGAGGCAGTGTTGGCAGCTCCCTGCTGCACTACAGCTGAGAATCATCACCTTCTGCACCCACCCCGGCACAGAAACACCTTAATGCAGGAAAGGAATGCATTGCTTCTTCAGAAGTGCAGCGAAGACTGACCTTGCTGAGATGTCTCCAGCTAAGGACTTTTAAAGGTTTACCTGTATTCAGGTAAAGCCTCTGGAAAGGTATTATATTAGAAAGCTTTTACATACTTCAGGAAATTTCTTTGGTACTGCTACTGGAACCCAGCAACCTTATTTTGGCACTTTGTTCTAGATTTATCTTTTTCTGTTTGTGTTTGTTCCATACATTTTTAATACAAAATTCTAATTTTAGAGGCTTCTTTGGTTTATATTCTTTTCTTAAAATCCAAATAAAAGTATGTATTTTACTAGAGAAGTTCAATATAAAATGTAACTATTTTGTACTTGACAGGGCTGCCTCCAGCACACACAATCAAAAAAAACACAAAGTGCTATTTTACCTGCATTTCCTTCCTATTCCCGTAATTGACTATAAAGGAGAAAGCTACTACATATTTTCTCTACCACACAAGCTCTTTTTTACAAGACAATATCTGTTCTGCTTTAAGAGAAGTAGCAAACAAAACCACTCATAAAACTGCCTTCCTGCCAGTGATATCATAGGCTAACGTAACCTGTGCTGGGAAAGATGTCCTTCATTGAGGCGGATAGAGGACATCTATAAGAATGTGTAAAATACACCTACTTTACATGCATGCAGTAATACATACAAGAATATACACAGTGAAGATAAAAATGTTGCAAAAATGACAGTGTAAATACAGATCTTTAAAGTCCCCCAAATCCTTAAGGTCAATACCTACTTTAAAACTCAACTTGAAGTTGAAGGAGCAGAGACTATCATACAAGAAAAAGCAAGTTCTGATATTAGCAACAGAAACTGTTCATTTGACAAGGACTGATTCATGACTGACAGCTGCTATCTAGCCACCAGAAGGCATTTATATTCTGCTAAGTAATGTCTAGTGTATGAAAAAATTTACATACTATTAAATTTTCAAATGTGTGTTCGAGCATAAAATAACTTGGATAAAATACTGATCCCATAGGTGAGAACTGCTTAGTGAGCTCTTTTTGTAGGGAATCACCTCTCTGCAGGTGGGCACCACACATAAATCTGCATAATGTTTTACTTATTTCTAGTACAGATATTGCCTAAGCTGGTGATTGGAATTCATACAAATATCAAAGCAGGAAGGTGTGCAGTTCGGTGTGTGCATTATCAGCAGTTGCCACTTTCCTCTCTGCTTCATCCAGAAGACAGAATGCTCCTAAGGCTTGGTACACAGCAGTATAAAAATGATGTTACAGTGCTATAAAATGACACAAGGTCTATTTTCACCTCTCTGTGGAAAGAGAATGTAGAGCCATGAACCTGGTCATCATAATACAGTTGCAAAATCGTCTTGTGAAGAATGCATTTTTAACAGAAAAGAGAAATACTGCAGAACACTAGACAGCTTGGTGGCTCACCTTCATTTTCACTTTGTATCAACTCTATTTAGCACATATTTAGCTGAATCAGCAGCAGAACAGCTATCAAATACACAGGATTGTGTCCCTCCTGAACTTCAGGGATAGAAAATACTAAAGAGAAGAGATGCAGGGCAGCAGAGTATCTAGCTGCCAGATGATGTGCTCATTCACAACCTAAAAAACATTCAAGCAGTGATATGGTTGAAAAGGTAGACAAAGGAAGATGAGAGAGTGCCCTGAATATGGTTAGGACTCCTTTACACACAGCATTTGTTTGTATAGCCTCACCAAAACATTAGTCCAAGTGGGAAATAGATTAATAAACCTATTCTTGATCCTCCTATGAGTAATTCTCACCAAAGGATATGGGAATGCTGGATCCCAAGTCCTCCGTGTGCTGAGGCTAACACCAAAGGACTAGTCTGCACCTCAGTTACACACACTTGGCAGTTCTTCCATCAAGCAAACAGAAGTTATTTATAGGAAGCTCTGCAGACTACAGACTGCTCAGGAGATCCCTTACATGACCCTAAAGCTGGGGAGCAACATGCCTCTTTATTGCAGTGTGGTGCTGAGGTGCTACTGCAGTTTTAAATAATTAATTTTAGTCTGTTGCATAGTCTGAACAGTGAGTCCAACACTAACTTTGAGACAGTGTTTACAGCCCAAATCCATAACAGAGATCTCAATATACCAGGGTCTGAGTTTGTGCAGCTACAAACAAAATACTCAAAGATAAAATACGTATCATCTCCAGTAATTACATGTTATTTTAAGCTTGCCATGAGTAAGAGTAAATATTTGGAAGTCAACATGCTGAAGACAGTATTAGCTGGTCTTCAGAGCTAAAACACTGAGTGAACTAGAATTACCTAACAAGAGACAGAGAGGATCCCATCAATGTGAAAGCACCTGCCAAATCTAAAAGCATTATGAGCAAGAAGGTATTAAAATTATGATCAAACCTGTTATATGATTTAACATGTATTAGCAAACACTGCTAGAACTGTGTTGTCAGTGGTAGCTTTTCTGCCATCACGAGGCATTCCAGCCCTCAGAAGTCACAAATCTTTGTTGAACAGACTGCAGACCCTACAGTCTTAGAGGTGTCTCAAAATGAGACCAGGGCTGAAGGTTTAGGAGGCAGAAAGAGAAGTGGCAACAAAACACAAAAGGGAGGTGGTAAAATACGTTCTGCTTGAATATGGGACTTTTTGCCTGCAGATTGCTTGCAAAAACATCTAATCGAGGTATCCAAGATAAAAAATGGACTGTCACCAGGCTTTGAATTGCCACACAGAGGTCAAAATCTCCCTGGAAAATCCCTGGGGTGTGCAGAATTGGGAAGGTCAAACCCCACCAAACCAGAAGAAGCCACAAAACGTTTTTCTTGTAAAAAAGAGAGAAAGAAGCAACCACAGCACTTCAGTAAAAGAATTCAATTCTAATTGTGTGACAATATGCAGAGCAGTAATTAGGAAATTCCAGTCTCCAAGCAACCCCCTATGTTTAAAGAAAAAGGACTGAAAATATTCTAGAAAAAGAAAACAAAAAATCAGCCAGCAGTTCAGCCACCAAAAATAGAAATATTTCTTTTCTGATCAAGTTAAATCACTCCAAATTGAGAAATTTTCTGGGAAAATGAAAAAAAATGTAGTTAGCAGACTTGCTTTTAACCAAGGCACATTTTTATGTATGAGGCTTTTACCAGCTAACCTAAGTCAGTAGTAATAGCAAAATTTTACACTTAGATAGCCCTAAAAAGGTAGAAATCCAGAATTTCCTCACTACTGTGGACCAGCAAGAGTGTAATTCTAGACAACGTACAGAGGCAATTAATTTCCAAACCACTATGTATTGTTGATTCCTGTATGGCACTCAAGGACATGATATAGAAAGAGAACACTCTAAAGTGTCATGAAAAAAAGCAAAAGCTTTCCTAAGATCCTACTGCAACTGTTAACAATTGAAAGTCCTCACCATAGCAGTCAGCTGAAGACATACTACTATAAAAATTCTCCAGGCACAGATACTTTGTAGCATTCTAGACCTTCCATTCTATGTTAGCTTTTCTTCCTCAGCAAGGATTGAAATAGATTAAGCTAAGAGCTTACAGATAGCTCCTCACTCCAAAGCACCCATATCCCCACTGCAGAGGAAAGCACTTCTCATTGGATAAAATGTATGCTAAAGGAAAATAACTTTTCAGAATTATTGGCTTGTTTCACTATATTGCACACACGTAAACATCATCAGAGAACAGGCTATTCCAAACGGCATCATCCGCGTGCCGATAAGAGCTCTTTAGCCGTGGTTTTTATGAGTCCTCGAGCAAAAAAAGAATGATAGTGGAAGAGATGCCATTTTATTTACCTTGATGAGTCATCGTGACAGGCTCTTCACTGGATATATTGTTGTAAATGACCACAGCTGTGGCATTATGTGACGCTGCTCGCAGTATTTTCTCTCGGAAGGTGCAGTTCCCTCGCTGCAGCAACGCGATCCACTGCTTGGTGTTTGGTGGCACCTGGAACCGTGTCCGAGGGTCACAGCCCAGGCGATCTGCAACTGAAATAGGAAATGCATTTACACAGATGGCAATTTATTCCCAAGCAAGCAAGAAACTTACTCCAAGTTTTGCTGAATTGCTTCCTAGCGCATGACAGTTTTTAGCTGTCATACGCTGGGAAGCCACTACCCTCTTGGCAATGAAGCATAAAGCTAACTGCATTCTTATGACAAAAAAAGTCTTTAAAGAAAAGTCTTGTGCATTAAAAGCTGTGACTATATCCCCGACAATTAGGCTCACTAACACAAGCTATTTTTAACTCTCCTGCAGCTAGAACAATGAATTTACATTTGAATCAATACCTGCCTACAGGCTGAAAAACATCAGAATACGGTTCATGTGCTATAGGAATCTACAAAGCAGCTGTTGATCTGTCATTCTGGGGAGAATAACTTTTTTCCTTTCTAATGCAGTCATAAATATCATTGCAGTGGGAAGTATTACTAAACAAAGGGGGTTGTGAAAACAAGATTTCAGAGTTATCTGCCATGTGCAGGCTACTGTAAAAAAGGACAGTATTAAAAGCTGATCTAGTGAAATGCCAGCAGTCACCACCAGCTTTTTATGTGTGCACATTTTGTCTGCAAGGAAAGGCATTCAAACTCAGAAAGAAACAAACAGTTTTGTAAATACAGTGCCCCCACGTTGTCAGCTAAACAGGTATTGATGGTATAAAGGAAGAGTAACAGAAATAGCAAATGCCAGATGTCTGGATTCAACAGCACACAAAACTCATTCTTTTGTCCTGGCTGATGCTGTAATGTATCCTTGAACAACCCAAACCCACACAGAGCAATGTACAAAAAGAAGCACAAGTGCAAAGCAGAAGATGACTCCCCAGTACAGCAGCTGAAACCAATGAAAGACATTTCTGTTTACACAACTGGAAACGTGCAGCTTAGTCTGATACACTCTTCACATCATTAAAGGCTTTCAGAAATTCAAAGCTGACAGTAACTTAAAACTCAAATATATTTAGCCTTTCAGACTTCAAGGGTATAAGAATCTTTGGCTACTAAAAATGGTAGGGATAAACAGTGATTTTTCAAGACAGAAACAAAAAAATGTTTACATAATAGCTCTGAAAACATTATGGATCCTAAGAGCAATTAAAAAGAAGTGTCCCATAAAACTCTCCATTTAAAGAAGTGAGCTCTTCAGCACAGACGATGGGATTTCAGAAAAAGCTCTACCACAAAAAGTAGCCAGTTTACCATATCAGCTGGAAACAAAAGATTTTTAAGCATTCCCAGCTTAGCAGAGCTCAGGTTAAAACCTATAACAAAGGAGACTCAAATACCTAAAGGATCTTTTCCGAAACAAGAAAGAAAATCTTTTGTTTGCTTGAGGAAAACTAGTGCAGATGAACCTATATTGTGGCAGTCATACAGGAAGTCGTTGCATCTCTTAATTTGGACAAGAAGTGCCTCTCCCTGTTCCTCTGGAAGGAGGGTGGGGAGCCAGATAGAAGCACATCCTCTTCACAATTGTTTTTCAAGGCTGTATTAGACATTTGAGACATGGAGGGCTATTTGCTGTATTTCTTCCATATTTGTGGTTTTGTTGTGTACATGGATTGGGGAAAATCTGAGATAGAGGTGCTTGAAGCTGAATTTTATAGGGTATTTTCTTCCATTGCCCTGACATTATTACTCGAACTCTTTGGAAATTGCTAGCTAGCACTGATCCACACATCTTGTTTTGGAGCACTGGTGACAGCCATCAGGAACAGCAATGATCACAGGAGTGCACTTTCCTATCGACTGCACGTCTGTAGCTTGTCTTTGTAGTCCTACATTTAAGAGAACAGTACATTTTTTTAAAGGAATCAGTCCTTTTTTGAAAATGTGATAGAACCACAACATGGCACACGAACAACCCATCTTGATGTTGTCTGTTAAGATAAAAGAAGTTTACTGTTCAATGCAAAATTCCCCCAGCTCAGCACATTTTCACTTAAAAATGCTGGAGGGGGAAAGCACCAACAGACTAAGATGGGAAGTTTCTCAAGCTTGAAAGCTAAAAATCCCATCTTTCCCCAGTGAAATCAGATTCAAGAATCTCAGATGTGATCCAACCTTTGGAAAACACCCTTAAATAAATGGCCACAATTCCACAGAATCTCCTCAAACTGTCAAAATTAACTCTGAAAGTAGACATCATGGCCAACCTGAATGTACTTAAAATACACAGGATGGATGAAAAGCAGTAATCCTATGCATTATTTACAGTTTGTTTCAGTCTAACCATGCTCAAAACTAAAATAGCAAGAGAAAAACGGCCACAAAAATAGGGTAATAAGTCATTAGAATGAAGAACCTATAAAAGCAGTAAAAGGCAAAAAGCACCTTAAAAAGGGAGGTAGCATTCTCAGAAGCCTGTTATATCATTTAGTTTTACAAAAATTTATGTAGGTACCTTTGAATTTGTACATCTTGAAATCTAGCTTAAAAACCTGATAGAGAAAGTAGTAAGAGGCAACAGAAACTGCATCTGTGGGAAAAGTGATACAAAATTTTCTACCATGGCAGTGATGGAAGTTTCTTTCAGATGTGGACAGAGGTACAGAATGTTACTGGAGGGAGCAACAGGATTAGGAAACAAGGTATGAAGAGATAAAAGCTTTCCAGATCTAGAGTAACAAAGACCACTCAAATGCACATGGCACGTTGCTCCTGATGAGGTGGATTCAGAGTGTCCCGAGGAAAAAGGATCAGCTGACAATATTACTCTAGCACTTCTCAAGCAAGACAGAAACTTTAAGGAAAACATGCTTGTTTCAGATGAACTTGAACTGAGTAACTGCAAGTCACTTAATAAAAAGCCACAACCCACTTTTCTTTACATGAGCATCCTATTACATCACAGAAATGTTAGGTAATCTTTTAACTAAATAAAACTCAGGAACAAAAGAGGAAAACCTTGGTTTTTCTGCCCTTCTTTTCAACAGACTTCGTACACTCTGCAAAGAGTCAAAGTAGTATAATCATACTCTTCTAGCACAGTGAACTGCCTAAATAAAACATCTCCTCTACACCTAACGTGCCAGGCACATCAGCTGGCACTAAGCGGGACAGATAAACGAAGTGTCAGCAAGAATCATCATCAATAGCTCTCCATTATCATGCCATCTATGCTCCATTGTCCAAAGTCCAATTAGGATCTAAAAGACTAGGGCTTGCAAGTATTACCTGGACGATGTCCACGCCAGAATGAAAAGCAACTTCACATTAAATTAAATTTATTGTAAAACGAATCACTTGCAAATAAAAATATACGATCAGAAGCTATGTCATTTTGTAACTTCAAAAGATACAAGCATACAGAAAGCCATCTAATTATTTTTCACTGTAGGTGTGCTACTCTTCTGGCTTATTCGAAATAGAAGTTGCTTACATAATCTTTCCTTTCTCCATATCTACTTATATACCATGAATGTGTTGGCAAAAAAACAATCTTCCATTCGAAGTGGCAGCCTGCTGGGTTAAAGAGCTACATACACTGTGGTTGTAAATATCTCCCTTCCTGCTATAAGTCCCAACACCTCAGAAGAGCCTCTTTACAGAAGGCTCAGCTGCAATTTAAGGCTCTACAGTTAGGCTGCACGTTTGTTCTCAACATCAGGACAGCTTCAGTTCCCTCTTGCAGAAGACACAGGACCGTGCAACTTGCACAGAACTGTTCCTCTTTAAGCATTTTTTATCAATTCAAGAGACGTTCCTGCTGGACTAATGTTTCTGACAGCATTTTAGGGAGTCATGTGAAAGAAATAATTAATAAAACAATACATCCAGCCTGTAAGAGGGGCAGTCATTTTGTCGCAACAAAAATGAATTTATTAGGTCAACTGTCAGAGGCTTTGTCAGAAGCAAACACCTGCCTGCATGGAAACTGTCTCCTACTTCTGAACCACAACTGGATTTCCTCTCTCTCATATACCAGGTGCTTATGTTGCTCTTGCATTGCTTACAATGCAACTGTGACACCTCACTTCACCCAAGGCTTCTGCACTGATTATCAGACTTTGTCCCCTTTTCACAGAAAAATACCAGCGCTGTGATCTCACACCCTGGGTATTAACTATTTTATTCCACGGTTGATTTTTGTTTTGTTTGTTTTGGGTGGGGTTTTTTGTGTGTGTGTTGAGGTTTTTTTAAAACAAAACAAAAAATTCAGATATCTTGTCATTGATTGCATCTCAGCTAATGCTCTACTCTCTCAGTTGCCAGAGCTGGTCTATCTCAGCTACACATACAGAAATCATTTTGAAGTCTGACCTTCAATCACTGTAATACAATAGGTGGAGAGACACCACCAATATTTTGAGGGACAGCAGATCAAGAGACTCCTCGGGAAAGAAAGCAGCCCAGAGGAAGATGCAGCCCCATGCAGCCTGTGCCTCAAAGCATTCCCTCCCCTCAGCATGCACTGCCCCAGCAGCTGCTGTGCAGCACACCTGCCTGGCAGAGCAGCCAGCCTTGTGAAACACATTAATTATAATCCTGTGATAAAATTTCCAGAAAAGGAATTCAGCTGGGAAATTTAGAGAAGCAACATAGCAGCACTGCTTCTCTTATTTCAAGGAAGGGTACTGGTTACTTGCTATGCCATTAGGGTTTAATACATGTAACACATACCTTTTAACATGCTACTACTTGTGCCATTATCAATAATAGTCCTTATGCAAGCCAGTTATAATTTCCACTTTTAAAAAGCTGTGTCAACAAATTATGTACAGCAATATTTTGTTTTCAAGAGCTATTTCAAGTAATCGCTCTGACCAAAGCTGGCTTTAATATTAGGAGAAACCCTTTGAACAAGAAGCAATCTTGTTTCAGGGAAGGAGTTAAATAAAAGAAAATCACTGAGGCTTAGAAGAGTGCTGCAATAGCTCAGATTTAATCTTGTTAGCTCAGTAAGTGTATGACAATTATGGCTATCAACTTCAATATGTAACTTCCACTTTTGGCATCAATTAATGACTACTAATTAAGCTGGATACTGAAACCAACAATAAAGGATGGATGCATGCACAAGATTTTTTTCTTCCACAATTCTATATTTATTGATGCATTTGCTTGCTGCATTTTCCTACAGCTTATTATTCTGGACCAGAAAGAAACGCAAAACTGTCTGAATGTTACCTAAAGCTCAACAGTTACCAGGAAACTGTAATTTTGAGGCTTCTGCAGCTAGAATTTGTTCACACAACATGTTTATGAAGTGTCAGATGGTACAAAATGCTATAGTTACAGTACCATGCACAACATAAACCTCCATCCCCTAACATTGTGTGAATATATTTTTTTCCTCACTTTTCACATTTTTCCAACACATTTTTCCTCAAATTCCGAACCTCCTTCCCCAAGCACAACCCTATTACCCCTTCAGCACAGATCTCCCCCTTCATAAAGCCATCACCTCCCCACAAGCCCTTCAGACTCCATTTCCTTCCCCCTACACCCCCTTCTTCCTGACCTACTGGCTCAGTGAGTCACAACATTTGCAAGTTTAGCTCTGAGTCTGCTGCTTTCGCTTCCTATCAGTCCCATCTCCACACATTGCCCTGCCTGCTTGCCCAATACCCAAAGCCAGCAGAGGTGCACAAAACCTCACCTCCTGGCAAGGTGTGACCAGCTGTGAGACTTTGAAAGCACACAAGACTGACCTTTCCAGTCCACAACTGTGTATCCAAACCAGAACAACATCCAATAACCCAGACTCAGCAGTTTCAGAAAACATTCTCTCACCATGGAGAACATTTTTGAGGGAACTAAGCCACAAAGTGCTGCAGTTTCTACCAAGAAACTGAGTTTTCAGTGGCTTCTAGCACAGTTTGTCCCAGCATGAGGAATGTGCCTGACACCCAAAGGTGGGCACCACAAGTGGTGTCCAGCACCTGATACCAAGGATGCTCAAAAGCAGAGGTCACTGGAGCAGCACAGGGCTGAGCACTTACACAAGTACTTACTGTGGCCTGAAGCGCCTGGGTGCACAAAGTCACAACTAACAGAGTAAGGGACTGAGGGAGAAGTGCTTAGCAACCTCCCCAACTAGACAATACAAACCTGAACTAAACTACCAGAAAAGCTGCATCAGAAGATGCACTTCACTATTATCCTTTCATGCAGAACAAAAGGAGCATTTTTTGATAACTGGCAAGCATTCCTACCCAGAAGCTGCTTAAAATGCTCCTCTAATGTGAAATTATTTCAGTCACGACAAAAGATTCACAAGTTAGAGGAAGTAAGGAACTAGAAGTGGAAGAACTGAAGAGATTAATAGAGGAACTCTGCTGCTATCAGATATTTAATGCACTTGGAAAGGTTTGCAAACATAGGTGCTCTGACAGACAGTTGCTGGAATGACACTTTTCACAAGTCACATTCAGAAGGGGTCACACAAATTACTACCATATCATTTCCAGGGGAACATTGCTTTTGAAAGCTAGTATCAATTTCACACACAGGTCTATAAAAAGAACAGGGAAAGAATTTTAATACATGTATTAACATCATAAGGTTGAATTTGATTTATGAAACTCAGCTAAAGAAAAAGGAGAAAAGATTGAATAGATCATTTTACACTGAAACGTGAAGGATGGGTAACACACAGGACTGGTGACTTCAAAAAGTAGTACATAAAATATTGTGCATGTTCAAGAACACAAGTCAACAAAAAACACAGCTGAGCACAACACTTAAAATCACAGGCTGTGCTATTGCAAATGGTGTATGTTCAGCAGCAGATCCTTGGCCTTAAATTCTGAATCAGTAAATTCAATTATTTCCTTTAAGGCAATGAGTAAGGGATCTAAACACAGCATGTAAAAATGTGACATTAAGGACACTGCAGCTCTAAAACATGGAGGCCCCAGCCATCGAGGTGCTAACAGATCACCCACATTCATTGAAATTTACAAGGGACAGCCCATGAATGGGGGAATGCTTGACACCAGAGCAGTTTCAGAGTCAAGGTATCTTCAAACATAGTAGCTAACAGCTGAAGAGCTCTTTTCCTCTTAGGATACATGAGATCTGGGAGGAGTGTTTACTGCTCTAAGAGCAGAGGCCAGTGCCAGCTACTTGTATTAAGAGCTATTAGAAAAAATATTTTGCAAACAATTTC